GGACGGTACAGAAAAATAAGCAAAAAAAACAGGGCAAGGTGTACAATTAAGAATTTCATATCAATCTCGGTTACATCTTTTCATTTACAATAATCAGGAGTTATGGATTTCAGCACTTGAGATTTGGTGGAGAAGGATAAAGTGGGGGATATTTTCGAAACGAAAGAGACGGTAGAAGAAGGGGGAGGGGATAGAAGGAGAGACGGAGGGGGAGGGGGAGGGGGATCAAACAACGGCATAATATCAGCGGACCTTTTCCTCCCTGATTTTTTTCTAGGGTGTGTGTGGGGGGGGTGAGACCTGTGTTTTGCTCATGTTATATCTTAGGGTCAAACTTCATTATTGTTCTTTTAAAACTGGGGTGTCTGGTACTGAGGGTTTCCTGTGTACTGTTGTTGCTGGGCTTGCTGTGTAAGGTCCTGTGGTGCTGGAGTCGATAGTTGACGTGTAAACTGAGTAATGTCTTGTCTCTGAAGTCCTACTTCAGATGGCGCTGACAGCTGCCGCTGGAGGGTAAGGTCAGCGGTTGGCGTGAATTGTGCGGACGCCATAGACAATTCTGGGCCAGCTAGCAAGGAATATATAACAATTTCAATGCAACTTGCCACCAACAGACAAAAAATAAAGAGAACAATAAATCAACCAGCGATATAAATCAACGATAAATAACTCTCAAGAAGCAAGGTGGAAAAGGTTGGTTAATTCGAGTAACAAACTAGTCTGTAATGGAAAAGTTTATGAAGTTTGAAATCTGGTGCCTTCGTTTAAGTCAAGAAAAAAAAAAAAAAAACCTTCACACATCCAAACAAAAAAAACCAACAGCAACGACGAAAAAAAATTGTCTCCGATAATAGGGATGAAAAAGGGATCTACCATCTAGTCACCTTACATTTTTGTGTAGGCTATATGTCAGTGTTAAAAACCGACACTGGCAGGAAAAAAATAAATCTTTTCATTCAAGGGGCACAGCTGGGCACTGAAGACTGACTACTTTCAGGAGCCCGAGTAACAGGCTCCTACCAGTTGCCCAAAAAAAAAAACAAAACAAAACAAAAACAAAACAAAAGAAATAAAAACAAAGCTTACGCTGGGAAGGTTCTGGGAAAAAAAAAGAGGTGTTCCAGAATACGGAGTGTTTTTAACTTTTTTGTTTTTGTGTTATTTTGTCTCAAACCGTGCGGCGTTTCTGACGAACTCTCAATATTCGATTGGACTGAAAAAAGATTTTTCGGGTTTGGCCGAGCCAAGCCAAGCCAAAAAACCTCTTACCTGACAACTGTCTTTGTAGTCTCATCATTAATTCAGTTGGAACACGACTTTGTTGGTGCTGTTGTTGCTGTTGGTGCTGTTGCTGTTGTTGTTGCTGTTGCTGTTGCTGTTGCTGAGCTTGCGTAAACGCAAAAAGCCTTTGTTGCTGTTGTCTGTTCACAGTGCTTTGCTGCTGGTACTGGTTTTGGAACGTTGGTTGTATCTGCGAGATTGGGTTCATTTGGGCGTGCCCCGATGACACAGGCAGCTGATGCTGCATCGTGGCCTGCGACTGTGGCTGTGGTTGAATAGCCCGCTGGCCAGTCAGCGAGAACTGCGGTTGCTGTTGAACCTGCTGTTGTTGTTGAATTTGTTGCTGTTGCTGTTGTCTTTGTTGTTGCTGCTGTTGTTGTTGTTGTTGCTGAACTAGCTGTTGCTGCTGTGGTTGTATTGGCCGCGTGAGAGCCGGGGATACAGTAAGACCTTTTCAAGAGCAACAGAAATGAAGACACAGCCTCATTATAATTAAAAATCAAACAAAACAATTAACAAAATAAATCACGTACTAAATTACANATACAATGAATATATGAAGTTCATATATTTGCGGTTGTAGATACGTATGATGCACGATCCTCGAAGTATAGAACGCTATTTATGCAACAGCGAAAATCAGACATTGTATCTGATTTATCATCACGGGTTTATTACGAATCAACTTAACGGCCTGCTCGCGGCCAGTTGGCTTGTTAGCTCAATTGGTAGAGCGCTGCACTAGTATCGCAGAGGTTAGTGGTTCGAATCCCGTACAGGCCTGATTTTTTTTTCAGGTCTGATTTTCGCTATGGCATGAATAGCGCTCTCTACTGCGAGGATCGTGCATCATACGTAAATTACATAGCATATACCTTATGCTACCGACGACAAAAAAAGGAGAAGAAGAGCAAGGATGTAGCCTTAAAATTTGATAAATTTTATATTATAAGCCAAATTACTTTGATTGGTTCTCTATTTATGATCTACTGGAGGACAGACGTACACACGACGTTACCATTAACATAAGTTTCTTCAAATAAGACAAATAGAATCCATGTTGCTGTCGATCTGCACAGTACTTAATTGACCAATCAGAGCGCGCGCTTTACTTTGGTTATGTTATAATACTTAATAGATCACAGAAAACGTCAACATGCGTAAGAACATGAGTAACACAATCAGTTTTTAGCATATTTTGACCTCATCGGTGATCTATTTCTGAACAGACACACGACAACACGGAATCTGTTAAAGATAAAGGGGGGGAAGGATTTCTTTACGTAAAAGTATTTCTTTACGTACATTTGATTTGTAGTTTTTACTTGTAGTTTTTACTTTTTATTTGTGACCTTATTGTATTAGATAGTGTATTTAATTCTTAGGATTTTAGTTTCTACTGTATCGTAAAGCGCCATCGACAATTTTTGGAAGATGGCGTTATATACATGTATATTTATTTTATTTATTTAAAAAGGTGTAAGATCTAAAGTGCTTGCTAATTATTTCTGTGCAATTTTGTCTTCACTTAGTTCGTCCTTTGTTTTCCCATACCTCCTCGTTAGTGCTTTTTATTAACTTTGTTGACGTTTTTCTCCTTCAATTACACCTCCTCTGCACGTATTCCTTCTTTTACACGTTATTGCGCAGTCATAATGTATTTAAGACCAGTTTCTTTTACGCATGCATGATCACTTTTTTGAGTGAGGTTACCCAGGGTCGCGCTTGGAGCAGTTCTCGTTCTAGAAGTCTTCATCCTAAGAGTTATTCTCCATTACAACCGTTTAGATATTAGACGTTATCAACCTCTTTTCCCTTCGTTTGTATTCATTTTTGGTTGCAATTTGTTTGTCTAAATTATAAACTTAACTTTTTTAATGTTTTTAGTTTGAACCTGCCGTTGTGTGTTAGTTGTGTGAGTAAAGTTCCGAGTTTCTAACGCGTTTTTAACGCAAGGGGGGACAGAGAAGAAATAGTCACCGTTAGTGACTCCTCTTTGTTTGCATTCCCAACTAAACGAACAAAGACACGCTTAGCCAGGGTTTAAACAAAGAGAACGCGGCATGAAGTCAACTTTGCAAAAATTTTCCTATAAGTTTACCTTGAAATGCAGCCGAGTTAAACGGCTGTTGTTGCGTGACCATGCCGGCAAGAGATGAAGGCAATGCCATGGTGGTCGGAGTCGAGGATGTAGAAACGAGATTGGGTCGAGTTGTGACCTGGGTTCTACCTAGAGCCGCAGGACGCTGGGGCTGAGTGAATGTGTATTGCTGATTCGTGTGGATTTGACCGGCTGCTTGCGATGCCTGGAGCTAAGAAAAACAACAACCACAACAAAATTAAAATCAAGACAAACAAATAAACAAGGTCTTCCTTGTCTTCTTCCTTGCCTTAACTCTTTCTATATAGTGGGATCTTTAAGGTGTGTAAACAATGACACGGCCAAACCACAACACCAGGAGCTATATTCCCTACTCTCCGTGAGAAGTGCGCGGGTTCTTTAACGTCCCAGAGTAGAGAAGCTACAGCGGACGGGGCCCACGGTTTATCGTCCTTATCTAAGAAGACTAGAATTTTTAACCATTTGTAGATGTCATAGCAAAGGTAGCACATTCTCCTCAGTTATTTTAAGACCCTTTTGGTTCGGTCTAGGGCTTGAACTCCCAACCTGTCGAAAGGCGGTCCGGCACTCAACAACACTGGCTAACCAAGCCCATTTGAAAAAAACGGTTCTGATTCTGCACTGGGCTTATACTTTGCCACTTCAAGTACACAGAACTCAAAACATCACCTAAAATTTCAGTCCCTCACCTGGTTGTTGGGTGGTAAATGTCTTAACTGCTGGTTTGTTAGCGGCTGTTGCTGCTGTTGCTGCTGCTGAGACATCTGTGTTTGTCCCATTTGAAGCTGCTGTTTGATAAGCGAGTTCTGTGTCAAAAATTGCAACGCATGCTGTTGTTGTTGTTGTTGTTGTTGTTGTTGTTGCGGTTGTTGTTGTTGTTGTGGCTGCTTTTGTTGTTGCTGCTTTTGTTGCTGTTTTCTCATCATTTGTTGAAGAAGCTGTTGAGTGACGGACGCATTTGGGCGCGGTGCCTGATGGGGCATCGGGTTCTGGGAGGGGTGTGACGTCAACATAGACCGTAGATCAGTTAACGGACTTGGATTGGTCAACCTGAAGATATATCAAAAACCATTTAACAATGACTGAAAACCACAAGAAACGAGTTTAAGAAGAACCTTGCAAGAAGCTTTGTCGCCTTATGTCGCCTGTCAACAGGGCAGCGCTCTTTTGCTTTCAGAGGAGCGAAACTCTGGAACTCTGAATGATAACGTTAAATCCTTAAAATGCCCCAAGAAGTTTAGGCGTCATTTTGCGAAAGTCTTGTTAGGTTGATGATATATTTTTGTAATTTACGATGTTATTGTATTTATATCCTTAATTAACTTAAATTTTAAACTTGTAGTTTTTAATTCTGTTGAGCTGAAAAACCCACTTCGGGAGCATCAATTAAGTATGTAAGTAAGTATGTATGTATGTATGTATGTATGTA